AGATTAAATACAACCTATTTTTATTTAGTAAAGATATCTAAACTGCATATTAAAGGTTATCCCATTTCAACTAAAACATTCTGTTGTGGCTCAGACTCAAAATGAGCAAAATTAGAGACAATTAACCAATTCAAACCATTAAATCCTTAACAAAGCATACTGCAAAAGTGAAGCAAAGTGGAAGTGCTAGGTGGCTTTGACCCAGCACTGCCAGGAAGCCTCTGCAATTGTGCCATTAAAATCAACAGTTTTAACAGGATTGTTTTGAAAAAGAAAGAAGAAGAAAAAAAAAAAACTATTGTGCGTATGTGTCTATTGTGAAAATATTAGTATGGATTTAACATATATCATAAAAAACAACAATTAGTAAATTATAAAAGCCTCTCCAAATCTGTGTGCAACACATCAGGAGGATTTCTAGACTGATGATCGCTGTAATGCAAGGACAATGAATGAGGACTGCTACTAACAAAAATATACCTATTCCAATTTCATTCGATTGTTTTTCTCTCTGTCCAATGGGCTGTTAACGGTTGTGAACGGATCATTGTGATTAGGATCAGTCTGATTCGTCTATAATTAATTCAATCAAAAGAATTGTTTGTTAAGAACTAGACATACGTTTCTTATAAGCGCACTGCGGTGATTTAAACAAATATCAAGATTTGTAACATTTAGGCCACAGTATATGCTGAATATTTCAGTCTATCTCAAAAAAAAAAAAAAAAATATATATATATATATATATATATATATAAAAGAAAGCTAAAAATTAATTTGGACAACTTTTACTGAGCTTCAGCTTTTGTGTTCTTTTTAAAGCTTGAATGTCACATTAATTGAGCAACCAATATTTCACTCTTTTTATTTGTGTGGAAGCAAGTAGCCCAGTTAAACATGTCTGTAGAAACATGAAGGTAATAAATTATGACAGAATTGTATTTATTTATTCATTTTTTTGGATGAACTTATCTTTTATAGAACTATAACTAATATATTGCTGCACGTATGCATAAAGATATAATGCCATATTTAATTGATAAGAAAGTGAAGACACTTATCAACTCAGTATGTTTGAGCGATATTCTAGTGAGTGCTATGCCGACCCAAATTCAAAAAGTCTTAGGACATGTGGTGGACCACCAGCAGAAACTCCCTCTCCTTTACTAATATCATTGTGGGAGTGCAAAACATATACTCACTAAGAGTCAACCAAAAGGGGCGTTAAAAATCTATTCTGGAGGCCATTTGGGAGGGGAAACAGAGGTAAAGGAGCATAAGTCTTGGTTGAGTATGATTTGAAGGAAACCCAAAGCAGGGTAAATAGCAGGGTAAATGGAGAAGTCTGTGGCTAGGAGTTGTGGGATGAGGGAATGACTCTACAGAGCAGATGCAAAGGAGATGTTTGAGAAAGACCCCCCATATACTCCATGCATACACTTTTTATCCTGCTAACAAGACCCTCAAGGAAACGCCTTATTTCATCCCTTTAATTACAAACGCTCATAACACTCATATACACATTTGGTTTGACTGTCCCTATACATTCAAACGGATTCTCTTCATCCTTGTCACTTCATCTAACAAACATGTGTACATTGTTCTCACACAGGCTCAGATATACACAGAGGGAAATTCACAACATGTAAAACCACACTGTAAAACATTCATACAAACAGATGCCTCTAATAGTTCCAGGCCACACCCTGAGCGACGACCTCCCCAAGATAGGCGACCACCCGTCCTCTCACCCTGGACACGCAGAGTGAGGCTCAGGCCTGACTCAGCTCAGTGGCCTCCAGCATAGTGTAAGTAAAACCACCTGCAGCGCAGTCAAGAGGTCATAACCACTACGGTAATGGGTGAACCCATGTCAGACACATTCGGCTCTGAATGACACCACACACACTGTATTATCAGCAAACATGACAGTGATTAATAAACACACACACACACACATGTTCAATAAGGGAGCTTATTCCTTCCAAAAGGTCACGTGCACACAAGAAATTCACAAGCACAGTAGGTCTTATAAAGCTGGGTGGGATTCCATCGCATGATTAAAGACAGCAAAGGCCTTTGATCTGTAATGAGCTGTAATTAATGCATCCTATAATGTGGGCATTAATAACTGCTCTAAAAATGTAGGAATTCTGAAAAACAAATGCAGGTTTGCCTTCCTCCTTGAATTTGATTTGGTTTAACATTAGCATGTTTACTTCTTTAGGAGAATAAAAGGTTAGATGTTGAATTAAATGATAATATATTTTATATTTATTCAAAATTTTCATCACACATCCACGATGGAGAACTAATGAAAACAGACACACACGTCACATGCATAGCATCATGTTTAGGTTTGATTGTAATGTTGACATAATTGCAAAGAAAATTACACTTCAGTACATGAAGTAAATTGCAAAAATGCTAAATTGTTGCTGTAATTAAGATTTTATAATGTCTAAAACAAATTTAAATGAAAAACTTGGGAATGGTATAAAAGCATTTGAGTGATCCTCTGCTTCCATCTAGTGGCAGTAATTTAATATCTAATTTAATATTTAAGTATTTGTTTTGCAGTAGATGGCAGCGATCTTCCACTTAACCGTGGCACTTTTTCAAAAATTGTTGCTATATTATATAAATGTATCTTTTTAGATTATTACAAATTGAGGGAAATGAAAAATACCATAAAGTCCCCCAAACTGCACAAATTTAAAGTAAAAACATTTATTTGGTTATATTACGTTTGTTTAAAAAAAACAAAAAAAAAAAAAAAAAAAAAAAAACATTATTATGTTACAAAATCAGTTTTTGTCTGGTTAGTAGGCTACATGAGCTAGTTGGACAGAAAAAGGAATGTTGTTGCCCTATGTGTATAGCAACCAACATAGCATAACATAAGTGATATTAGTCAGTTTTATTGTAGGCTACATAATATTAGGGCACTCGTACTAACGCCATGAGTGATAGCGGTAGGCCTAGGCCTTCATACCTTTATTTTTTGCACCGTCCCCTCTTTGTTTTCCTTATTTAGGCTCGTGGTGGAGGCAGTACCTTCTTATTTCTTTTCCCATCATTTCAATTTGTTGATTTAGAACTTTTCTGGAATCGAGGCGAACCCCTGCTCCTCCGTCCTGAGTGTGTAGCCTAGTTTCTATTAGGACGAACAAACTCCGAATCCTGAACAAACAGGTCGAATGAATTACCCACAAGGTGACATTGACGTGATGATGGAAAAATGAAAAATGAGCGTTAAACCAATTGTTAAACCCCTTTTCCCCGTCAAGATGGTCATTGCCCATACCAAAATTCTACACTGTATATAAATATATAATTAGCCTATACAATTTTAAAGTGAATTAAAATTCATTTTTAATTTATTATTTTTTTGTGTGAGTAAAATTATTTTTTGAGTTTAACTACTGACGTTTTTTTGTTTGTTTGTTTTTTTTTTCAGAATTTTAAGTTAAAACCTTGTTATTTAGGCCTAGAGCGTTTATTTGAAGAAAATGTCAATGGTCAAAATAACAAATAGATGCCATGTTTTCAGAGGTCAAGAAAACACGCATATATCCATCTTAAAACAACACCATAGCTACTAACTTCAGAAGAGTTCAGTGATTTCCAATCAGTTTTCATGCATCTTGGGATGCTTGTCTTTACCTTCACATTGCTAAGGTAACAATCACTAACCAACAAGAGGTTTTCAGTGGGATTCAGGTCAGGAGTTTGGGCTGGCCATGACATGGTCTTTTTTTTTTTTTTTTTTTTTAATGTGTCATTTATTACAAACAAATGCTCTAAATTACCATATTTGAAATTGGGAGGAAATTGTCAGTAGCTCAGAGAATAAAACAAAAATGTTAATTTTACTCACATACATACAAATAGAAAATTATATTATTTTTCTAGAGGCTATAATAATAATGCATATTTAACTTGATATGTAAAATAGTTTATATAAATTACCAATCCTAAAAACTCAGAGAGGACTAATCTCGTAGATTATTATTTGCTGCCATCTACTGGGCAAATCAGTTGCTGCCTACCTAACAGAATGAAATACTGTACATTTTCCCTGTAATCCCTTAATATTAAACAAATACAGCTAAGCAATATAAAAATGTAAAGCCATAAAAAGAAATCATCCATAATAAACAAATACTCAGTTTCCATATTAAGTTATTATTTTTTTAATAACTTAAATTGTTTTTAACAATAATTAGAAACTTTTAATTTTCAACTGAAAATGACAAATTATATTTCCCCGACTCGTGCACAAGTTATCGTTAAATGTTGTCCTGTTTTGTCTGGTGCGGTTCAAAAACCTGCAAAGGAAAGTGACAAACTAGAAAGAGACCCAGTGAGCTAAGAAACAAGTTAAAGAAACAAGAAAGTGAGTCTGTCACATAAAAAATTCACAGGAAAGAGCTGAACTGTATAGTTGAAGAGGTCTTCTGTTTCAACTTCAAAATGCAAGTAAATGCCCCAGAGAAAACAGACCTGACACCAGATGGCAAATCTGAACCAGGCAGTCAAAAACTCGCAACAACACACACACACACACACACACACACACACACACACACACAAATAGGATTTGTAGCTTGATTTACAAAAACTACATCAACTGCAAGAACCGTGATAAATCTGTTTTTAAAACAAGCAGACCAAAGACTGACGAGTCTAAGTTGAGAAAGTTCAATGAACTTACATTCATATAATCATTTCTTTTTTAAAACACCTGAAGGGAAAGGTCTTGAAGACATACAGTGCTGAGACAGGTGTTTAAATTGTCCTCTGGTTTAAAGTTTCAGTCCTGTTTTTGTCGTAGGTCTCAGGTCAACTAGCACTAAACATTATGCTGATCCATGAGTGGATGGTGGTTGACAGGTCAAAGCAGAAAGTTAGTGTCCAACACTTGAACTGATGGGGGGGGGGGGGGGGGGGGGCATGTTCAGTCAAATAATAAAAATAAAAAAAATCCACGCTTTTAAAAAAACTTAAATGAAGGAGAAAAAAAAATGTATTAAAAAAATAAAATAAAAACATTAACATCAACCCATCCGGAGAACAATCAGAAAAAAAAAACACCCCATTACTTGTTCCTCAGTGTGCAATTAAATGTGTGTGTGTGTGTGTGAAGGGCAGACAGGGACAGGGCAATCAGTCCTGATTTACTTGGCTGGTTTGTCAGTATCCCTGCAGTCCATTATAAATCTTTTGAGATGGTGCCTGTTTCAGAAGATGTCTTATACCTGAGATAGAGGGGGAAAAAAAAGCTAAGTTGAATATATTAACTACCAAAAGCACACCACAGTAGTCACACAGAAGAGGGACAATTTTAAATAAATCCCATTTTTAATATTTTCTAGATGTTCTCTTACCATTTTTCTGTTGGTCATCAAGCTGTTCCTTTGGGAAATCTACATCAAAGGTGACTATGAGCGATCCACGGATATTGTTGTTGTCAAAATTTGGTAGGCCCTCACCCTTTTTCCAAATACGAGCTCCTGGCTTAGTGATTTTATCTCTCACAATGTGCACCTACAAGACCACAAGATGAGTCTCTGTGAGTTCCTGAACAGCCTTATCTTATACAGCAAATACAATGACAAATAACAACAGGATGATATTAGGGATGCACATTATTCAACCAATCATTTTTAAGTAATCTGTACCTGTCAATACTAATATTTATTATGTTATGAATGTATATCCAAAGCCAATCTGTTGAAAGTAAAATCTGGGAAATTAAACATGCCTTGTGGCCATCTAAATGAGTGATGTCCATCTCAAAGCCGACCAGAGCCTCTACCAGAGAGATGGTGACGTTTGTGTAAAGGTCGTCACCTCTGCGCTCAAACAGAGGATGCCTGGACAAGAACAAATTTACATTTGACAAACTGAAACCGTTTTAAGTACAGGTACATTAATTGAAAGTATATTATTAAGAGTTCAATTAGTTGTTATCACAATAATACTTTACTCTTACTTCAAAACTTTGATGCGGAAACGCAGATCTCCAGGCTCACCATCAATGTGAGGTTCACCTGTGGTCAGTCAAGCAGCAGATACACACTTCATAAATCATATGTTGCAGTATCCATCAAGTGTTACTGTACGGAGTTATCTACAGAATTATTTCCTATACCTTCCCCAATGAAAGGGTATTCCATCTCATCTCTCACACCCTGCTCGATCTCCACCTCTAGTGTTCGCTCCTCATTCACAAGCCTGGAAACAATGATTCAGTGTTTAATAGAAAACCATGAACCGTCTTGGGGAGTCAAAGTGAGATCAGGCAAACTTACTTGATATTGGGGCATTCATCACAGACTACTTCCTGTGTCATCTGGAAGCGACCTGGTCCTAGTTGTGTGGTTCTCATTTCCTGCCGGCAGTTGCATTTTCTTTTGCCTGGAGCTTCTTTTGATACAGGTTTGTTTCGTACCACCTGCGTGTTGAAGAAGAGAGGAAACACAGGAAATTACTTTACATAACCATGTGACCATGTACACTGCCAAACAAAAGCCTATAAAAGAAGACAGAAGGTCTGAATACTACAGTACATCAGGAAGGAAATGGAGAGGGATCAAGAACAAAAAGAAACTCACCTCCACAAAATTCCCTGAATACACCTCTTCTAGGGTTACTTCAAGGTCCAGTACAATGTCATTACCCCTGGGAATATCCCGGCCGGCTGGCTGCCTATTTCCACCGAACATAAACCCAAAGTCGCCGAAGAAACTTGCATAACAAAACAAAACAAAAAAAACATATAAATATCAGTGCAGTCACATAGTGTAGATTGAATGTACAGTTACAGTGAACACATTTGTTTTTCAAACAGACATGCTTCTGAAACTAGATAAACAACTATGCATCAGATTTTTAAAAATCTTTAATACAAGATCATATTTGACAAATCATACAATGTTAGTGAAAAAAATTCACAAAAATATTAGCAAATAACTGTTAAAGAAAATGTTAATTAGATGGGTGCCATCTTAATATTTTTTACCTGGAGAATATATCACCATGTGAACTTTGATGGCCTTCCTTTAACCCCTCCTCTCCATATGCATCATACTGTTTCCTTTTCTCCTCATCTGAGAGCACCTGCGTTTAAAAAAGCACAATAAGAAAATAGTATTTTTACCCTGGAATACATAATTAACTCACTTATAGCCAATGTAAAAGATAATAATAATAACTTTGCCACCTGAAGTTGTTTTTCTTATTTAAATGAGATCATTTTATTTTTTGAAGAACAAATGACACTTTAGTTTATAAAGTTTATAATTTTGCCAGAACTGCCACCACATTTTAAATTGCTGGGGTTTTTTTGTAGCTTTCTGTATTATTTTTTTGCCCAGGCAAGCAACCCTGGATTAATTTAGTGTTTCTTTCTTTTAAGTATCCAGCTGGAAAAGCTCAGATGTACAATCATACTCATATTATATGCTCATCCTTAATTTAATATATAAATATTATTACTGTTGCATGTTATATTTAAAATAATTATTTATATATATTTACAAAATTGTTTGCTATAATGCAGTAGACCAATCCCTAATTTGCTTAAACAATAAACATTTACTGTGTAAAAATTAAACTTTGTAATATTGCAGCCTACAATGTGCACAAGCTACACTCTCATCATATGAATGACAATAAGCAGATGTTTTAACCAATCAGAGGCGGCCACACATTTCTTGCAACCAATCAGATCGCTCGATTGGTTCGTTCCTAACTACAACGCTCATGCTGGTCATCATATTCACTGGCATTATACTGACGTTTTGTTCAGAAATAATAAATATGTCTAGCGATGCTTTAGTGACACAAAGCATAGCCAGTTCAAATATGTGTATTATAGTTAGCATAATATTTGCATGGAAACTAAGTCCCATCAATTTTAAAAGTAAAATTTAGTTAAAATTGTGTTTATTCAACATATGAGGCGTAGTCAAAACGAATAAAAAGACCCCAGTGAAATTACTTAACATAAACAGCCATAACCTACCTCGTAAGCTGCTCCAAGGTCTGCAAATTTGTCTTGGGCATTTGGGTCATCTTGGTTTCTGTCTGGATGAAGCTGCAATGCCAGCTTTCTGTAGGCTTTCTTAATATCTTTAATTGATGCTGATCTACTAACCCCCAAAATTTTGTAGAAATCCCTCCTGAAAAATACACATTATTTTAGAACTTTAGAATCACACATCAGTTCATACATTCAAATTATTGACGAACAGGCACCTGCATGGATATACGGATGTCTTTAACATTCAAGTTATACATCTTGACTTGACGAGCAAATCAGCCAAGGCACAATAAAAGCATCAGATATTTTTAAAATGTAACGTTATATAAACATGTGGCATCGTCGATGACAAGCTGCAGCCTTGTTACAGCCATTATCGATAGGTACTTACAATATATAAAAATAAAACAATGTCATATTTTTAAAAGAGCAAACCAGGCTTTAAATGAACGCATTAAATTACAATAAATAACGAGGTTATATAAAGTAGTTTATGGCGAGATTCACCAGCATGATGCATGAACAGTGGCGTAGACCAATCACAGTGAAACATGTGTACCAGCCAGAGTAGTGAGTTTATAATGCACTGAACCTAAACAATGAAAATAACGCGATATTCACTTACCCAGCCAGCACTGTCACTATCAAATATAAAAGCAGAAAACACACACTCGACAGTTTCATTCCTCTAACAGCCATGGGTACTTGTTTCTTTCAGAATTCCAATAAAACACACCGGCTTTCGGTGATGTCTATCAAAAAGCTTCTTCCTGCTCTGTCACAAGTCCCGCCTCTTTATAAAAAGGAAGTTTAATAAAAGTTCTATCGAAAAAAGTCTCACTCAGTCAAGAAAACGGCAGTAAGTTATGTTGTGTTGTGTTGTGTTGTGTTATGGTGTATTGCATTGTATTGTATTATAATATGTTATTTAGAACAGTAAACATTAATATTATATTACATTATATTATATTGCATTGTATTGTATTATAATATATCATTTTGTTTATATTGTATTATATTATAGTATACATTCGACAGAATATCACACAAGAGCTACTACTATATATAAAATGGAACTTTATTTATTTGAATTTATACTTTTCTCAAATACAAATATTTTCTTTTATTATCACTATTTCGTTCTGCACGCAACTTTTATTTTGTTTTCATAAACGTACAGTGACAGCGTTACACAGTGCACTTCCGGAAAGAAATGGCATCTTTGGATAGGGTGAAAGTGTTGGTCTTGGGAGATTCTGGTAATAAATATAAACTAAATAATCAATCGACCTCCATTTCTGTAACCTATAATAAGAAAGTACATTTAAAATGTAAGCGTGTTGTATAATATTCGACTCAAGCTGGAGGTATTAGCCTGCCACATTAGCTTGGATTTCTACAATACAGTATTATATTTACTATTATATATATCACGAGCAACTTTATCCACTGAGATGTTGTACAGAAATACTTTGTGAGCCTAGATATGTCTCATCTGATCAGTTTTAATGTAATGTCTTTTGACAGGAGTAGGGAAGTCCTCTCTTGTACATTTACTTTGCCAGAATCAAGTTTTGGGGAATCCTTCATGGACTGTTGGCTGCTCAGTGGATGTCAGGGTACAGTGAAAATTATCAGTAATTATTAGTAATTAACTATTATTAACATAATTAATTATTATGTCATTAATACTCATTATCATTTGAAAATCTGTCTTGATTCTTTGCACAGGTACATGACTACAGAGAAGGCACTCCAGACGAGAAGACGTACTACACTGAACTCTGGGACGTTGGAGGATCTGTTGGCAGCGCCAGCAGTGTTAAAAGCTCTAGAGCTGTCTTTTACAATTCTGTAAATGGTTAAGTATCAGACACACAATTTAAAGTTGTATGTTCATGTGCACAAAAATAAAAAAAAAATGCAATGACACTTCTTTAATGCTAAATCACTATGTTTGTCTATTTTCTGCAGGTATTATTTTAGTTCATGATCTCACCAACAAGAAATCCTCCCAGAATCTGTACCGCTGGTCACTGGAAGCACTGAGCAAAGACTCCTCTCCAACTGGCATCATTGTAACAAATGGGTGAGTCAAGGTTAACTTCTGATTCTGTTTAAATGTCTGCATCAAGCATTTATTCAGCACAATGCTTATATTTTACAGTAAATGAATCAGAATACAGTGAGCGATTATTTGATTATGTCTAGATATGCTGAAATAAGTGAATTCTGATGTTTTGCACTTGCAGAGATTATGATAGAGAACAGTTTGCTGAGAACTCAGTTCCTCTCCTGCTAATTGGCACCAAATTTGATCAGATCCCGGAAAACAAGAGGAACGATGTCCTGACCCGCACTGCCTTTCTTTCGGAAGACTTTAATGCGGAAGAGATTAACCTTGTGTGTGCCTTTTAAAATGTTTTTACCTAAACTTATATAATATTAAGTCACAAAAAAACAAACAACTTTTTCCTGATTTTCTTCTCAGGATTGTACAAATCCACGGTATCTTGCAGCCGGATCATCAAATGCTGTTAAATTGAGCCGTTTTTTTGACAAGGTAGCGACTTTTATTAAAATAAAGTCTGTATTTCTTTTCTGACCCTAATGATTCTCTGTCATTTTGTGAGTACATGTCTGATGGCAGTGTATTGTTAGCATGTATACATACATTGTGAGTAAACACTTGTGTCTCTTTTAGGTAATAGAGAAGAGATACTTCACAAGAGACGCTAGCCAAGTGAGTGTGTGCTTTTCTTTGTTTACATGTGACTGTATTTGTTTTGCCACAAATGAGCATATTTGAAATAATGTTTTTTTGCAGTAGTTTTAGATAATTACTGATAAGATTATTAATCAAATTGCTGATGTAATTCATTTATAATTTATTTTATTGTAGAATAATTATTTTGTATTATTTTCTTCTCTTTTTTTTGCTCCTAAGATGCAGAGTTTCACAGACAGGAGGCGCTTTAATTTCAAGAGTCTGCACAGTGATTGAGTGTACACTTTAGATTGGTGGGTTTAGTCCTGTTTGTAATCTGAATTATCATATGAATATTCTTCTGCCATCATGTTGTTCTGCAAAGACCAATTAGTTTGAGGGAATGTTTTTTTTTTTTTTTTTTTTTTTTGCAAAAAATAAAATAAAATAAAAAAATAACATTAACATCCAGTTTACCATGACAGAAATATTTATGTGGATTGATCACCTGTATCTCTTATTCTGAGATTGTCTGTATTTCCATATGTTATGTTAAATAGCAATTTTAAATCCATTTGAGGATAGGTGGACTGATATGTCTTTCTCAACACGATAATCCTAAATTGGAAATATTCTATTTTTTTCCCCCTTCTCATGTTTACTGTTTGTACTAATGAGGTGACATGGGCCCTTGTTTTCTTTGGTAAAAGGCAATCTAGTATCATCTAAGTTGAGATGGCGGAGTTTTTTGTTTTGCTTTTTAATTTAATGAACCATTTCTACTTAATCTTTAGGATCATCTGAAAGGAAAACAAGTAATTATAGATTTACAGTTTTTAATGTTGATCATTGTAAATTTAAAAATAATAAGCCTTTGCTATATTAGCAAGCTGTTAATACTGTGCATGTACAGAACTCTTTACTTGAGACAACATTAAATAAAGATGCATTTGAATAAACTCTGTTTGTCTCCTCTTTTCCACTTCTTTATAGGCTATATAGTATAGTGAAGGGTGTGAATTTTGGAATAAACTGCTCCTTCAATGTATATGTATATATTCTATGAGTGAATGGCAGTTTGAGAGTGACCAAGTTCCTGCAGCACCCTTGATGCACTTTATCCTGGTTAGTTAGTAGCTTACTAGCTAGGATAAAGTGCATCAAGCGTGGAACATCTTCACATTAGCTGGCAATGTTCCATCCCTGTTTGAACAGACAATAATGTAGTATGTAATTTTCTTAAATCTTAAACATTTACAGTCAGATTTTTTATTTTATTAACAAATGTAGAAATATTTTGTTTCATGTTATTACCAACCTCAAAATGCTTTGTAATTCAGTCAACTATCAGATAAGAAAGCATGAATCACATTTTACTTCATGTGATAACCTACTGTATAAACTTGGATCATCTCGCATATTCATCTGAAATTTTTTAAATGGCAATGTAAAAACTTGTTGAATCAGCTTTATCTAAAGTACTTAAGAGTAGTTGTGAGTGACAGGATACAATTTCAAATAAGACAGAACAACATGTAAAAAAAAATACATTTCCTTCGAGACGGTAGTAGACATTGACACCTAACTAGAATAGTCTGGCTCTAACACACCTCCTAACCTCACCACAAACTTCAAAAGGGCTTCTTTGGGGGACTTTTTACGCTACTCAGATCAAAGAAGTATGCAATCACAAGAGCAACAACTGGTTTTAGCATCAGACTAATTTAAAAATGAAACAATGGCACACTCTCACCCAAAACCCCGCACAGTTAAAGTAATTATAAATTAAATAATAATACATGAAGAGTTCAGATGCAAAAGCCTCTAAATGCCATTTGAAATTTTCTTCTTTAATGATTATTTTTTATCAAGCTTGTATATTTAAGTTCAGTAATTTCACTTAAATGGCAATGATAATTACCTATTAATTGTTATTTAAGTGAAATTACTGAACTTAAATATACAAGTTTGATAAAAATCATCATTAAAGAAGAAAATTTCAAATGGCATTTAGAGGCTTTTGCATCTGAACTCTTCACATTTATTCTATATAGCGCCTTTAAAAGTTTTTCTCAAGGCATTTTATATGAAGCTTTACAAAAAGTCAAACACAACAATAAAAGGACAGTAAATATAATAAAAGGCAGATAACCAAAAACAACACAATAGAAAAACAAATCAAGTAAAAACAATTCTAAAATATATTTTTTTAAACCAGTTTTAAAAATGTGTAATGATTTTGCTTTCCTGATGTCAGCTGGGAGAAATTTACACATGTTTTGGAGCATATGTTGAGAAGGACATGTCACCCCTGGAAAGAAGGCGCATTTTGAGAACAACTAAGAGACCACACTGAGAAGATTACAGCATTACGATTTCAAAATCTGCACGACCTGACAGGAATCCAATGTAACGTCTCCAAAATAAGAGCTATAATGGTCACCAACCCTGGCCCCAGTTAAAAGAAGTGATGAGAGACTAAAAGACTAGCTGCTGAGTTTTGCAGATATTTTAATCTGTTAAGAGAAGATTTGGATACTCCAATTAAAGAATTAATCAATCTTTCAGAAACAGAAAAGGACAGCATAGGCCAAATACACGCAATGTTTCTAAGATGGAAAACCATAAAAACCAGAGGTCTTAACCATATTCTGTACAAAAGGCACAGAGTAGCATCAAAGATGACTCCAAGAAAAAAACAGTATTGTGCAGTTGATGGTGAGAGCCGAAGAGCATGACTTCAGTTTTAGAGCTACAGATACAGAAAATTGTTAGGCACCCACGAATTCGATACATTTGAAAAGATGAGAAACATCCACAATTGACCAGACTTGAAATGCTTTATGTCATCAGCACATAAATTATAGCTGAAGTCAAAAGATCTTAATAGCTGACCAAGAGGGTAGATGCTAAAGTGCAAAGGACCAAGAACTGAGCCCTGTGGGACAGCAGTACAAACAGGACCCCCCTCAGATCTAAAACCACCCATGTAAACAAATTCATTGTGAAAATGACCTATAACCATTCTAAGTCAGTCTCAGATACATCAACGACAGTTTCCAATCAGTTAAGTAAAAGCATATGTTCAGCAGTGTTGATAGCCAGCCCATTCTCACCCCCAAGGCGTCACTTAACTGACGCCTTGGGAAGCATTTGTGGCGCTTTTCCACTGCATAGTACGGTACGGTTCGGTTCGGTACGGCTCACTTGTGGTGCTTTTCCACTGCATGGTACGGTACAGTACGGTTCGCTTCAGGTCGCTTTAAATGGTACCTGGTCTGTTGAGGTTCCAAGCGTACCGTACCGGTACTAAAATGTGACGTGAAACACTGCAGATCACTGATTGGTCAGACAGAATCGTCACTACCAGCGTCACTACTAGCGTCATTGGATTTGCGACACGAGACACTTTTTTAGCAGAATTTTTGTTTTGCTGCCATCAGCCTCATTTTAAACACATTTTTCCGTCTAGCAGTTAAAAACAACCACATACCGAGAATCAGGAACACCATCCCCTCGATAGTCTCCATTGTTCCCGTGTTGTGGGTTTGAAAATGTGGCGCTTTTAAGATGATGTAAGTAAGTAAGTACATTTATTTGTCCTCGTGAGGAAATTTGTTTGCATAGCAATCAAGTAGGCATTTCAACATACATACGACATACATCATACACACACACAAAAAATAAATAAATAAAAGAAAAAATACAAAGACACATACTACTACACTTAGCCCATAATTCCACATACCCTACACTTATTAACTACCTATTTGATTTAAGCAATACCAGACCAGCTGAGTATCCTATACCTATGTAACTTAGCTATTTAAAAGCTTAATTGCTTGAGGCACAAATGAAGACTTTGATCTATTTTTAGTGAATAGAGGGAGGCAGTACCGTCGCCTAGAAGGCAGTAGTTCGAATGAAGAGGCAAGAGGGTGCCTCTTGTCTCCCACAATGGTTTTTGCCTTGTTCATTACTCTTTCCCTGTAAATGCATTCCACACTTGGTAACGTGATCCCTAATAGTTTACTGGCCAGTGTTACTGTTTTCCTTACAGACTTCTTCTGTGCCTCAGTAGCATTTCCAAACCAGCAGATGATGCAGAAGGCCAACACACTTTCAATAAAAGAAGAATAAAACATCTGAAGCATTTTGTTGTGAACATTAAAAGATGACAATTTCTTTAAAAAGTACATTCTTTGTTGAGTCTTAGTACTGATGAGGTCAGACCACAGATCCCATTTAAGCTTATGGTCAATCACTATGCCAAGATATTTATAATTTGTAACCGATTGTATAGCCTCCCCGTTAATAAAAGTTAAATTTGATGATTGTGTCATTCTAAAATCAATGGACATTTCTTTTGTTTTTGTGGTGTTTAGAAGGAGGCTTGACTTTTCACACCAATTTAAGAAATAGTCAAGAACTGGCCCATGATCCTCCTCATCATCATACAGTAGACTCAACAAAGCAGTATCGTCTGCATACTTAATAAGGTGCCTGTTTGGTAAAGTGCTGGTACAAGAATTCGTATATAAAATAAACAATAAAGGAGATAAAACACATCCCTGAGGAGAGCCTGTGCAAGTAGACATCTTGACCGAGAGAGAAGTTCCTGTCCTGACCTGCTGGATTCTACAACTAAGAAAATCAACAATCCAAAGAATCAAGCCAGGTTCAAGTGAAAATTCTGAGGCCAGTCTATCCGCCAAAATACTGGGCTGGATAGTATTAAAGGCCGAGGAAAAGTCCACAAATAAAATCTTAGCGTGGGTCTTTGGTTTCTCAAGGTGAGTGTGCAATAAGTGCAATAGTGTCCCAATGGCATCTTCAACTCCCCTGGAGGCCTGATAGGCGAATTGCAAGGGGTCCAAGAGATGCTGAGTTTCAGATACAATGTACCTCTTTACTAACTGCTCGAAGCACTTCATGACCAGCGACGTTAGTGCAATTGGTCGATAGTCATTTGGTCCAGTGGGTCGCTGAGTTTTTGGCACTGGTATAATTATGGATGTTTTCCATAGTGTTGGGACCTTGTGAAGGTTAAAAGAAGATCTAAAAAGGTCAGTGAACACTGGTGCTAGCTGTTCAGCACAATGTTTTATGACCCTTCCACATATGTTGTCTGGTCCTGAGCTTTTCCGAGAATTACATTTCCTAAAAAGCTGAAGGACTTCTGATTCCTTGATGGTGAAGTTAGATGAGAGAGGGAGACAAGGGAGTGGAAGGGGTAACCCAGTGGTTGCTTCCATACTATTTCCCCTCTCGAAACGACAAAAGAATGTATTTAGCTGGTTTGCCAGATCAGGTTCATCACTCTGCAAAACCAGTGGAGAATTTCCCCTGCCCTTGTGTGGAACATTGGTCATAATTTTAATTCCTTGCCATGCCTCTCTAGGATTACCAGATGCCAGAGTGGCCTCTATCTTTTGTTTATAGCTATACTTATCCAGCTGTATTTGTCGTTTAATCTGCCTCTGTGAGTCCCTTCTCGCTGTTTCATCCTGATTTCTAAAAGCTTTTTTCTTTTGAATTATAAGATTCTTTAGTTTGTTTGACACCCATGGCTTGTCATTAGGAAATACTTTAAAAGACTTAGTAGGTATCACAGAATCTACACAAAAGTTAATATAATCAGACACTGCTACAACATGATCATTAATATCAGGGCTCTTAAAGACATCCCATGCTGTACAGTCAAAACACCCCTGCAGAGCCATAATGCTGTCATTGTTCCACACTTTGACAGACCTTTTTTGAGGCTTCTCCCTCTCCAGTAACCTCTTATAGACAGGCCGAAGATGAACCACAGTGTGATCAGATGCCCCTAGTGGTGGTAGCTGGGATGCTGTGTAGGCGTCTTTGACGGTTCCATAACACATGTCTAAAGACTTATTTTTCCTAGTAAAACACTTAACATACTGATAGTATGTGCGTAGATGTTTTTTAAGGGAACATGTCATGGCAGTAGAGGCGCGCAGATGTCATGGCAGTAGAGGCGCGCGCAAATAACGATCAATCCCACACACTTTGAAGGGGTACTACTGCAGTGGAAACGCAAAGCGAGCCGAACTGTTCCGCGCCGAGTCGAAGCGTACTGGGCCGAACCGTACCGTACTATGCAGTGGAAAAGCGCCTTTGGACATGCTTCAATAGCTGACGCTTTAGGCGCCCTTTAGCGTCAGTTAGACGACGCCCTAGGATCGCGTGTACCCAACCCCCACCCCACACCTAAACCTAACCGCGTCCTCTAACTGACGCTTTCTTTTAGCGTCAGTTAGATGACGCCGTAGGATCACGTCATGTAAGTGACGCTAAAGGGCGCCTAAAACGTCAAATATTGAAGCATGGTCAAAGGTGACGCCCTGCGATAGCTGATCTAAGATCTAAGATCAAGGAGCCAGAATCAGAAGCTAATAATAAGTCATTGACGACTTTAACCAAGGCTGTTTCATGCATTTTCCTAAACCCAGATTGAGGGGGCTCGAAAAAATTATTAATCATTAAATGATTGCGCAATTGAGACGTAACAACACCCTCTAAAATTGTAGACATAAACGGAAGATGTGAAATTGGACAAAAGTTGCAAAAACTGTTTTAAAAAAATCACTGTTTTGTTTTTTTTAATATGTGACAGCAGTTGTATGTCCTGCTGGCACAATCAGTAGACGAAGAGTCACAGTTAGAACAGGGCACAAATAACCCAGCCCATTCTCACCCCCAAGGCGTCACTTAACTGACGCCTTGGGAAGCATTTGGACATGCTTCAATATCTGACGCTTTAGGCGCCCTTTAGCGTCAGTTAGATGACGCCCTAGGATTGCGTGCACCCTACCCCCACCCCACACCTAAACCTAACCGCGTCCTCTAACTGACGCTTTCCTTTAGCGTCAGTTAGATAACGCCGTAGGATCGCGTCATGTAAGTGACGCTAAAGGGCGCCTAAAACGTCAAATATTGAAGCATGGTCAAAGGTGACGCCTTGGGGTGAGAATGCGTTGAATAACCGAGACAAGATTTAAATAAATTAAAAGACAAGTAACATAATTCTTTTATTTATTTTTATTAAGTGAAAGCAATGTATTTTATTCTAGTATTCCCATTTAAAAGTATTTTAAACAAAAGCTGTAAAAGAGTGAAGTATACAATACTGCAATCAGGCTTCTTTTCATTGTTAAACTGTCTGTCTTATTTTAAGGGGTTTTATGACAGCTGATATTGTTTCTGATTCGGGATTTGCTTGATAAGATTATTTTAACTTTATGCAAGCTACTGTATATCATAGAAGATCTTAATGGACCCAGATCCTCCCTGAAAATAACCAAGGAGGCAATACAGACAAATAAATTATATTACATATAAACAAACCAAAACTGGAAATAGCAGCAGGGAGTAGCCAAAAATAAGAAAATGAGATGCTATTACAATCACTTAATGTTCTTCCTAATCCACGGAAGGAAGGCAGATATTTTTATGTAGAGTCCGGGATACTTCTTGGATGTACAGCTTTCAGGATCGGTGTATGCAGCCATTCCTTGAAGTTTAGAGTCACAAAGAAGAGGACTGCCAGAATCACCCTAGAATGAAACAGATGAAAGACTCAAATGTATTCTGCCACTATGTGAATTCTTTGTTAATCATCTAGTGACTTTTCAGTAGGCCTACCTGACAAAAAGCATGTTTCCCATCTGAAACACTACAGATCATTCTCTCAGAGTTGAAGTATTGCTGCCAGCTTTCTTTACATTTTGAGTTCTCCTGCAGTATAAGAGTGACTTCCCGCATCACATTCGATCCCACTACTCCTTTGGGAGTTGTTAACCCCCAACCAGCAATTGAGCATTTAACATTAGCTGGTGTTGTTTCTTTTTTCTTAGGAAGAGGCATAACTTTCACAAATCTATTCACCTTGGCTTTGTTCTTCAGCTACAAATAACAAAAAAATAAATAATTTAAAGAGAGCAAGCAAAGCGCATAATATAGTCACAAAGGTGAAAAAAAAATACCTTTAGTAACATGATATCATAGCTGATGTCCTCAGTATTATCAGATTGATACTTAGGATGTTGGATGTATTTTAACACTTTGATTCTCTGCTGGCTTTTCTCATCCTGGTGGATGTTGTGAGCTCCCAGAACAACCTCAAAGTTGCCCCGACCAGCACTGCGGCTGCAGAAGAAATGTAAAAACAGTGTAAACCTTGAAGCATTTAGATAACTAAAACACAAATTTATAGATAAACTAAAAGTCTTGAGGCTATAACTTTTTGAAAAGCATCATAAATAATCCTTCACACGCATCCTAGCACATACTTCCAACAGTGGGCCGTTGTCAGAACATAATCCTCTCGGATCAGCATCCCTCCGCATGTGTGATGTTTATTTTCAAGCTGAATAGATGCCATGTATGGTCTGGAATGAGGTTTAGAAACTTTTCCACCAATAATACCACTCTCCATCCCACCTGTGATATAAACAGAAGTAAAATTCCTTTACCAGACTAGGGAGGTATTGAATTGAATCGTTTCTACAATTTGCATTCTATTTATATTTCAAATTTATTTTAATATATTTTTAATTTTCAAAATATTTGAGTTTTCAGATGCTATGCTCTTGTAAAAGGATGCACAATGTGAATTCAGGAAGAAAGGAATGAATAATATATTACCCGCCAAAGAGATACCAAGGAGAAGAAGAACAGCGTAAAAAACCATGGTGCAACAGCCTGTGGTAACGCATTCGTGTGCATATGCTATCATACACTCAGACCCACTCACTACCCTCACTAGTTGTATCTCCTCCCCCTTACCTCAAACCACAAAATGTGTGTACAAAATCGCAAGCCCCCATTACTTAGGAATCATTACCAAATTTGAGTTACAGAGTATAAATACTCTACTCACTTAAGTGTACTGTTTTAAGAAATTAAATACAATAAAAAGTAAATTGTAAAAAAAAATCCAAATCTCATGTTTGTTCAAATTATTCGTTGGTTTATTATAGTGTTGGTGTCCAACACTATCTCACGACCAATTCGTACGAATTCGACGCATGATTAAAAAGTGGCTAATTCGTACTAATTCGTACGACCTCACTCGTACTAATTCGTACGATTTGTCTAAACCCACGTGATGGTTATGTTTAGGGGCGGGGTAAGGGGTAGGTCATTCGTACGAATTCATACGAATTGGCCAATTCGTAAAATATGTACGATTTAGCAAAATCGTATTAATTCGTACGAGTGAGGTCGTATGAATTGTTACGAATTAGCCACTTTTTAATCATTCGTCGAATTCGTACGACTTGGTCGTGAGATCGGGTTGTGGTGTCATATAGAGATCCCACACTGACTGACTCAGTACATAGTATTTTTATTCAGTCAATGACTGGACATTGGTTGTGGCAAGCATAAAACATCAATGTGTGACATTAAAGTTACTGGCTGAAAAACAAACAAAACAGGTCAAAAAGAAACAATTTTATAATAGAGGACATATTTCTAAAAAAAATGGGATAGTCTCTAGCACTACGACCCTAGAATCAAAAAAATGTATAGTATATATATCAACAATGAACAATGTTCCATAGCTTCCTGTGAACCAAAGTTCGACAGCTGATTTTGTTTCTGGTTTAGGATTTGCTTGATAAGATTATTTTAACTTTATTCATACAGTATGCAAGCTACTGTATAGAGGATCTTTGTGGACCCGGATCCTTCCTGAAAATAACCAAGGAGGCAATACAGAAAAATAAATGAAACAAAACAAAACTGGAAATGGCAGCAGGGAGTAGCCAAAAATGAGAAAATTTGATGCTGTTACAATCGCTTAATGTTCTTCAAAATCCACGGAAGGAAGGCAGATATTTTCATGTAGACCTCAGGATACTTCTTGGATGTACAGTTAGCAGGATCTGTGTATGCAGCCATTCCTTGAAGTTTAGAGTCACAAAAAAGAGGACTGCCAGAATCACCCTAGAATGAAACAGATGAAAGACTCAAATGTATTCTGCCACAATGTGAATTCTTTGTTAATCATCTAGTGGCGTTTCAGTACCTGACAGAAAGCCCTTTTCCCATTTGAGATACTACAGATCATTTTCTCAGAGTTGAAATAGTTACGCCACCTATTTTTACATTCAAAGCTGAACTGCAATTTGAGGCTGACTTCCAGCAGAACCGTTGATGCTTCTCCTCCGGGTTTTTCCATACCCCAGCCAGCAATGGAGCATTCCACGCGGGCAGGAATATCTTCATTGTTCTCAGGTAGTTCGATAACATCCACAAACTCATTCAGCACAGCCTTGGTCTTCAACTGTAACATATCAATCAGTGAATACCAGAATACAAAAATTCACTCAAAAGAACAATCTGAGCACCATCACTACCTTCAGTAACATAATATCATAGGTGAAGTCGTTTCTTGTATAATTGCGATGTGGGATGTACTTCTCAACTTGGATTATCTGCTGGCTCTTCTCATTCTGGCTGATATTGTGAGCTCCCAGAACAACTTCTAAGTAGTTGGTGGTCTTACTGTGAAAATAGTTTAATAAGGTATTTTAAAGCATAATGTCAGTACATTGATACAAACAAATTAAAGGGTAAACTATTCCTAACTTTTTAAAATCAGTTTAATAATCTTAACTGTCTTTGAATACATATTACCCAGTGGATACTTACTCCAAACAGTGGGCTGATGTCAGCACATAATCATCCTTAATCAGCATCCCTCCACACTTATGTTGTCTTTTATACTGGAGAGACACCATGTAAGGTCTGGAATGAGGTTTAACCTCTCTTCCTCCAACGATACGACTCTCTAACCCTCCTGTGATAATGAGACAAGAGGATGTCATGGGAACTTTAGAGTTAAAACTTTAGTTTAGTTTAACTTGAAAATGACAAATTACAGAAGTAAAATGGTTATCAGTTTATTATTATTGATGTATTTCTCCAAATATTTCACAATGATTTAAACTGTTTGAAAGCCATTGGTACAAAAATGTGGATACATAAGTCTAAAAAACTAATTGGATCTCTTTAAAATATTGTGAAGTGAATGTCTTACCGGACAGAGAAAAAACAGAAAGCAGGATACAGACACTGAGCAGCATGATGTATAAATGTGCTGATACAGGAATGGAACATGAATGGCATTTGACCCTCAGCGTTGCCTTTGTACTGTCTGATGGTGGCTATATTATTCTCGGTTGCATATGAAAGTATACAACGGAAAGGGGTAGGGGAAAGTTCTGACACAGTCAGTTCTCAGGTAAAAAAGTACCGTGAACCACACTTAAAGGGGCAGTTCAAAAAAAAATGAAGGTTCTCATCATTTATTTACCCTAATGTTGTTCCTAACCTGTATTAATTTACTGTACTTTCTTCTGTAGAACACAAAAGATGATATTTTGAAGAATGTTGGTAACCAAGCAGTTTTAGTGAACATTGACTACCATTATATGGACAAAAAAAACACTTGTTTTTTTTTTTTTCAAAGTATGTTCTTTCATGTTCCACAGAAGAAAGTCATACAGGTATGGAACAGCGTGAGTAAATGATGAAAGAATTTTCACTTTTGGGTGGACTATCCCTTTAAGGATAATGCAAAAAAATATAATGCTCACATTAATGCAAAAGAGCTTTGAGAAGATTCCTATTCATCACTGTGTAGTATAAAACCTCCCACTAGCTTAGTTGTGATTTGACATGAATGGGTTTGATGATATTTTCTGTGGCATATGTGATGGCCATCAACTAACATCCCACAAACTGCCACAAACACATTCATACTCTGAGTAAGTTTGACCATATAGTCTATTCACTATTTCTATTCTTATTTGAGTGTGACCACAGTTTCCATCCATTTTTTTTCGAATATGACAGGTTTATACAGGTTTTGTTCCAGTTGCAATAAGAATCATGGGGGTTATAATGGAACGTCACCTCCCACCCTAAAATATCAACATACAGTAAAACACAATTACTAATAAATATTATTGATATTTATTGAACTTTTCATGAACACAAATGATACAAATTGAAGAGACTGTTTATGCCCCACTTGAAGGCCACATATCATCATAGACAAATTCTCTAAGACACAGTGATATTGTTTCAAACTTTATGAATGTAGTTGTCCACTTTCTGCAGTGTAAAGATACTACAATTGTAAATATTGTAAACAGCTCATATTTATCCACTTTCCTTCTTCTTGGTCTTTACAAAGGGTTGGTGCAGTACATCATAAAGCCTTCTTGCCTAAATGAATCACAATCAGGAAAAGTGATTAAGACACATACCCTCGGATTGGTTAAAAGAGTCAAATGCAGTTATTTTTGAAAAAAAAAATAAAAATAAATAGTTTGCGTCAAAGTACGATGCAACGTTACATATAAAGCCAACAGTTCAAAATATGATATCAAAGTGTCTCTACACACCTTCTGTGGACCGAGTCCTGGGCACAAAACTAGTTCCTCCTTAGAAGCCTTAATGATGCCCTCCAGAGACTAAAGAGGTACAATACCATCATTAAAGAACATAAAAGTATTTTAAGATCACTAATTTAAAATAGGCAAAGGTTTTTATGTACATTACCATCCAAAAGAGGTCTGTAAGGTTTTTAATATTCTTGAAAGAAATCTCTTAAGTGTCACATGATCCTTCAGTAATCATTCTAATATGCTGATTTGCTGCTCAAGAAACATTTCTTATTATTATCAGTGTTAAAAATAGTTGTGCCGCTTAATATTTGTATTTAATAATTCTTAATAGTACTTCTTTGAAATCAATTTTATGCATCCTTGCTGAATAAAACTAATAATTTCTTTCTGAAAAAAAATATCTTTTGAATGGTAGTGTAAGTAATAATAAGATGTGCAACATTTAAAGGAAAAGTATTCCTTACAGAAAAAGTAGACAGCAGAGTCATGGCATCTGTCTTATTGACAGACTTTACGGTGGTTAAACAATCTGTAACCTGTCAAATAAAAAGAAAGTGCCTTTATAGAAATTATGCCATAGGTGCTTGATTAAATAAAACCATACATAATACTTTCAGATGTATACAAAGATTTTTGGGCTCTAACCTGGGACAGGTAATTTTTCTCCACTTGTTCTTTCAGAAGATCTGCAGGTTTCTTCTCGTAGGATTTAAATGTCTCAAGGTACCGACCTGCTTCTTCAGGACTTGCACATACAAACAGGTAAGTTTAGTTAACAACTAATATTTACACAAGCCACAAAGGAAATTCCCCTTCAGCTTGATTATTAATAACTATACCCTTACCTCCAGGCCAAAATGAGGGTACAGTCAGCCATGATGCATATTCGAGCAAGCTCTTTCAGAGCATGATGAGGGTCTTTCTGATAAATGAGGAACACAGAAATGGGACATGAACATCAGCAGTCTCAAACTGAAAAAAAACAGGCACTTAGAAGATATTTATTACCGGCCATCGATTTTAGAGATTTAAATAACACGTATGAGAAAGGACAAAGAAATGTGAGTGAAACAGACAGACTCACCACATCGACCTGGACGAGCAACACTCTGAGGGTAAAAGTCTGTCCCAGCTGTTTCAGACGCTCATGGATGTAGTTTGGGTTCAGATTATGGTAACGCACACTGTGGTCATGAGAGAGAGAGAAAGAGAAACTAAAACATCCCATATAGTACTTGTATGTTTGGTTAATATAAACACTATTAAAAAGTGAATGTCTATTTGGCATTTGTAATTCAGTCAAATGAAATCACTGGTTAAGGTACTGAAAACTTCTGCATTGATTAAACACAAAAAGCATAATCTTGCCATATACAGGTACATCAAATTAAAAATACAAAATGCATTTGTTGCAACATATTCTATATTGTGTATTGTCACACCAATTAGCCACAACATGTTTACTTCCTGTAATTCTCAGTAATTTTCTTTGCAAAGAGAGATGATGATGTGGTTTCACACCTGACTAAGTGAGAGAGGACATTTTCACATAACACTTACAAGATGAGTTTAAAGTGCACATACACTTGCAGGAAACCATGTTTCTATAATTTGCCACTCGATTGGCCATTATAAATTAAGTATTATGAAATATGATCTAAGATTTCTTGGCAAGAAAAGATCTGCACAGACGTTCAGTAATTGGTTTGATAACAAAAGCCACACTTCTCACACACACAGAAAAAACAACATTTTGAAGTAGTACTTTGTCTTAGATAAATGTTAAACTAAGCAAATAAAGGATAGAGCAGAGCTGGCAAGATTTATTAAAGTGGCATTTTCATAAACTTAAAGAGGACCTATTATATTTCTTTACATTTTCAACTTTCTCTAGTCTGTAATATAAATTTCTTTAGTCTCAAAAAGGAGTTATTCTCTATACCAGTAAGCACTGTTTCTGAACTCCTTGAAACGCTTCCAATGTAGTCTTCTTGACTATATATATCCTCACTATTCACTATATTCATCATTTAAATAATTTGAATAGATTTAATTAAATAATAACCAAAACACACTTGAAACGGTCACTCGAATCACAAAACACGAGTCCAGTCAGAGCCCATTGTGCTTTTTTGGAACGAGGGGCTTCATAGAGACAGGAACTAAAGAGTGTTACAACAACGTAAAAATATGTAAAAAAAAAAAAAAAAAAGACGACAACAACAACATTCTGTTAAGGCCCCAAAGCAAAATCAAAGGCATAATATGGCCTCTTTAAATATGCAAATCTGGTGCAGGTTTTGAGATCAAACAAATATAAATGTACTTTCTTTCCCCCATGATTGAGTGCAATAAAATCCAACAAGACGTGAGCAATTGGGCTCAAGTGTGCACAAAGAAAACAGTGACAGCACTGCTTCCACATTTATCTCCGTCGGTGTCCGGCTGAAGCTTCTAGCTTTTCAATATGTACATTTAGATTCCTATTTTGAAGAAGAAACATTGGCAACTGTAAAATTAGAAATAATCTTACTGTGGGTACTTTAACCAACCTGAGAAAAAGAGCACACGTTGTCCGTCCCAAAACATAGTCTGGCACCACTTCTCCAAACTCCCAAGGAACATTTCTCACAAACTTTAGGATGGGGTTGCCTCTCTGTATACAGATTAAAAACATATCTTAATCAAGTTCTACATTTAATTGTTATATTTAAATATTTGTTATATTAAAAAATCAATTAAAGTTGCATTTGATTTGATTTACACTGCCGGTTAAAAGTCAGTAAGATTTTTTATGTTCTTGAAGTCTCTTATGCTCACCAAGGCTGCATTTACAACAGTAAAACAGTAATATTGTGAAATATTATTACAATTTAAAATAAAGCTTTTGAAGCATTACTCCAGTGTCACATGATCCTTCAGAAATCATTCTAATATGCTGATTTGCTGCTCAAGAAACAATTATGATTATTATCAATGTTTAAAAAAGTGTATTTCACAATATTCATAGTTTTACTGTATGTTTGATTAAATACATATAGCTTCGATTAGCATAAGAGATATTTTGTACTGACAACATGAAGTCGATTTATTATATGCTGCTACTCCACACAAGAGTATTTCTAATTAGTACTATACATTTCTTTATATGTAAGAATAAAGAAGGAATTTCTTTGTAAGAAAAATACTGAGCGTTCCTTTTAAAGATAGGAAAATGATAGATAATGAACATATGTAATACAGACCTGTCGAGGACTGACAATAATACTGTTCCCAGATCCTAAGAGATGAGGAGGAATGATACGATTCTCCAAACTCTGACCCTCCTCTTTTGTCTGATCTTCCTCTGCTGGCCCCTGCTGTTCAGTCTCGGGTTTTCCTGAGTCTGTGAATGACGTAGTAACTGAGGCGCTTCCACCTGTGTTTACACTGCTTTGTCCTGCAGCATCGTTCCTACATTGGGCAGCAGAAATTTGTTTCTCTGATCCATGAGCTGCTCCCTGAAGCCCCTTGTTTTTGCTCTGAACAACAAACTCAGCATAGGACAGTGGTTGGCCAGGAGCTGGAACAGTTGAAGCCTCTACTTGACCATCTTTGGTCTTGAACAACGATGCTACCTGTGAGAATAAAAGGAACCAGGATACTTGTATCATTTCAGAGACAATACCATCTGAATAATTTAATGTAATCTTAAAGGTGCCATATATTTGTGGCATCATTTCCATCACACACACACACACACACACACACACACACACACAAAACATTTCCACAATCCACAAGTTACTGTTGCCTATTTGTTTCCTATGGAGACAACTGTGTCAGTCAAAAACATGCTTGATATCAAAAAAGAGATAGAGATTTGTGAAAGGAAAAAAAAAACTAAACATTCTAGTAGGAAAATTAAGTCAAAATAACGAGGGGCGTTTTTTAAAAAAAATAATACATTAGGGCCTCCTTGTGTAATGCGAGGATCCTCCAACTTTTATGATCCACTGACTGAGGAAAATGGTCACGTGTTTAGAAAGGATAAATATGGGGGTAAGTAAATTATGATACAACTGTAATTTTGAGGGTAATGAGGGTAACTGTAATTTTATAAGTTCTGTCTTCAGTGTTGCACTAACTGATCGTTAGACTGTTGCAGTCATCAACACGCAACACCTTGTTATGGACAAACCATTAGGGGACAAACTTGCAGAGAGAGTGTGAAAGTATCTCATCAAGTTGGTAACGTTAGATCGTGCTTCTTGTTTAGTGACGAGTGTCTTAACTTACCTGGTTTAATGTGGTGATAGTTCATGAATGGAACTTTGGTTTGAACCTCCATCCTCACAGAGACCTCTGATACAACACACCATACTAAAACAATCATAGTAAGGAAACAAAACCCACCGGACTTCTTTCTTTTGTGAACGCAGAGTCGTCCAAATTGATATTGAATTTCTTTTTTTCCATTTATAAATTATCAGTGACTGCACAAACCATAGAAACCATACTATGAAAACATACTAGCCCATCTTCCGCCATCGCAGAGAAACAAACCAGTGTCAGACAAATGTATTAAACACAGAAACATCGATCGATACCGAGACGCTACTGGTACTATCCGACAGATGGCGCCCAAACCCGGAATTTATTACATTTGCTCACATTATCCAAAAGATGTCGACATTTCAAAAGATTTTAATACTTTTCAGGATGCTTTTCACACACGGGGTCTCAAATGTAGCCTACCGATTTGTAATGTTGTTCAAAAATATATTTAGCCTATTAATATTTTAAACAATATCGTTCCGCCGTTTTAAACATTTTTGATATGGTATTGCCTTTATATCAATACGGTCATTTAGTCACTTGTTAGACTGAAGCTTGCGACGTCATTGTTTCACCCAAATAATACCATTTTATTTGACATTTTATTTTTATACTAGGCTATTACTAATTTTACAAATGTTTCAACATATTTAAGCCCTATGTTTTAAATAAAGACACTGACAGAAATTAGACTGTATTAAACCCGTACAGATATTAGGCTTGTTCGACTTCATGCAGCTCTGCGCAGACCGATCGTCGGCTGACTTGAAACAGTGCATGCCGGTTAGAAATTTTGTCCGACTTGATGCAGCGCTGACTCCACGTGACTGTGACATATGCCATCAAAGTACCGCGAGAGCGATACGAGAGTAGCCGGAGGACTCAGCCAGCGCAGCTTCTCAAGAGCGGCTGCATGAGCTCTGATGATGTCACAGCTGTTCCACGATTCGCCGGATTCACCGCATGACAACGATCACGTGCGTTTCGTGTTTATTCTCACACCTTTAGTTCCACTAAAGCTCACAAATCAGTATTTTATAACAGTAAACACTCTTGTCATGTAGTCGCAATGTTATATTGTGTCATGTTTATCATGTTTATCAAAATAAAACTGATTAAAAAACGTTGATTCCACGTCATTGATTATAGGCTTATTTTGAACTTTATTCTAGTTCAAACAGATGCTGTATGAAGCAGTAAAGTATTAAATGAAAATGTGTCTGAAATATCTGTTTATTTGGCAAATGTTGCATTTATTTCACTTTGCTGTGGTATAAGCATGCAAACAACACGTGAGCCGTCACTACGGGAACCAGAAATTGTCCGACTTCACGTCTCCGTTTGCAGCTCCTCCCCGCCTGCACGCGGCTGTTCTCGCCGATCGGTTGCATCCAGCCGCAGGCGATGTCGAACACACCTATAGACTTTGTGACTATAGACTACTTACACGTGACAGCTAGCCCCAGTGACTCTATGATTGGCAGTTGGCACTTTCTTGTCGTTTAATATAAAAATGTTCATTATGGACATTGACTAAAGTCTCATTCATGATTTATTTTTTTATTTTTTCATCTCATCTCAGTCCTCAGAACATCATGTTCAATGTTTTTTGTAATGTTAGAGGTTATCCAATTAAGAAACCCAAAGTCTGACAGACATCTGTGTATTTCCCATTTAACCCTGTTTGTGTGTGTATGTGGATGGCGTTTCGGGACGTCCTGCCACTGTGCCATAGCATCATGGGTCCCACAGACAGATGGTGCCAGCTTCTTTCTGAAGACATGTTCATGCCCTCCAAGAGATGTGATGTATTCACACAATACACACAAACCTTTGGCATTACACCAATGTATGTCAGTCACCTTTCAGGACATATAAGACAAGATCATAAATTGAAAGTATGCATGTGCATAGACGCACAAACACTTTCACATACGTGAGCAGCCATGAAAGATTTGTCTAGTTAAGTAGGTTGTGACAAGGACACAGTTAGAGTTTTAAGGTGAGTATATATCCAGCCTGTGGAGCAAAGGACTGTGGGTAAAGACGTCAAGCCAATTAGCTGCTCCATGGGTATAACCTTAAATACGTGTCCTCATATTGAAATCATAATAATTATAATTTCCAGAAAAAGTATTTACTTGATTTTATACAGGATACCCATAACGATGGAAAAGGATTTTATTTTACTTAATTTCATGTATGTGTGTTTGTGTGTGTGATTTTTTTATTTATTTTTTACATATATTTTAATATATATAAAACCTGTAATAAATTATTACAGGTTATTTATAAGTATATAAATTATTATAACCTGCAATAAATTCTTATATATATATATATATATATATATATATATATATATATATATATATATATTAGTGATATTCTATAATTGCCTACTTAAACTATAACTAAATATTTCTAGAATAGAATCTGCTTAATCTTACTTTTGATAACCTAAAAAAAAAGCTAGATTCACCATCTCATTTTAAATTTTAGGGGCATTTTCAGTAACATTTTTCCCTAAAGGACTAGTGTTTGATACACATAAGATGAAAACTTGCTGCTGTCCTGTAAATGTTTTTTTGGGGGAAGAACACAACCAATCACACTCCACACCTCTGTAGACCTGAACTATAGCTCAGTTTGTTATGGCAGGAGATATGTAGGATCTAACCAACACTCATTTTCACATTCTTATTAATTTTCTTGTCCAAAAATAGGAGAGGAGGGATGCAACAGCAAAGTTACAGATGCACTAGTGCTTTTTAATAGTTAGCTGGTATATCTAGACACTGTGTTTTCTGTTTTGCTGTCTCCTCTGTCGCTCTTTCTAGCTTTCTCTCTCTGTCCATGTTGGCAGTGAGCCTGGCTTTGGCTGCAATAATGGCCACCTCCAGACCTCTGGCCCCTCCCTCAGGTCTCTCCTCCCCTCCCCTAGCAGACCCCATGCTAAGCCGGCTGTGTTGAGCTGTCAGCCCCCGGCTGCGGGCTGCTCCTGGGCTCCCAGTGTGGGTGTGTGTGTGCGTGTTGGGGCAGAGGGGTAACGGTCGGGTCCGTAGTGGCCGCTTATCTGCCCTGCCATCGCTGGGCAGGCGAGAGGACAGATTGGCCCTCCAGCTGTCTGACTGAAGGACTCGCAAGACCCCTTACTGAGGAAACCACATGCCCTGATACACAACACGCACATACACACACATATCTTATTGAGATCACCACATTCCCTGATACGTACACACACCAAGTCACCCTCAGCTGTAACATATGCGTTTCAGCAGCACACTGACTCTACCATCCTGTGCCAAATGAGCCAAACTACCCATTAGGTTCAGAAAAAAAAATGCTGAAATTTTTCAGTATGAAAGCGCATGGCATTCACACAGTATGTCAGCACCGCTCTGGCGTCATTTAAGATTAAAAGATGAAATCTTAAACCAGCCTAAGATGTGTAGCCTACTTTAAGATGGTCTCAAGGGCAAAGCTGAACTTGCTGGTCTCCCAGTCTGACCAACTAAAAAACAGCTTAGGCTATAGTTTAAGTTGCCTCTTTTTTTTTCTTTTTTCGAATTTATGAACTTAGAAATGGCATTGGCTACTGCACTCGGCCCTGTGTGGTTGAAGAAAGCCTCATTTTTAATTACAAAGTACTGGGAAGTTCCATAAGTTTCATTTCAACCTCATCTCAAATTATGTATTATTTGAAAACAAAATGCAAACATATTTGAATCATATTTGAATCACATATTTTATATATTCATACAGCTTAAGCTTAAAAAGTCTGCTGTGGATGAAAAGACACTAGGACAATTAAATTATTGTTGAAAAAATGGTGAATTACTTTTACACAAGAAATGTTGAAATGGTTTGTTTATTTAACTCTTTGATTAGGTTATGACAGTTCACATATTTTTATTCTGGTTTTCCTTAGTTGAACATCTGAATCTGTGAGAAAAGAAAAACTATACAATCTATGTTAAAGGAATAAAAAAAAAATAAAGAGATAAAAAGACATTTCAAATTTGATCTTCAAATATCACTTTTTTTTTAATATGTTGTAATATTTTTTAATAAAAAAATCCACAAAATTTGATCTTCCAATATCACTTTTTTTTAATATGTTGTAATATTTTTTAATAAAAAAAATCCACACCTGGGACATGAAAGTTTCCCAATTTAAAGAAATATCCTCTATGTATTTGAATAAAATGAAGAAACCCGTGATAAGGAATGGTGTGTACTGTTTATATATTTTATTTTATGTATTCATTTATGCATTAAAGTTGATTGTCAAAACCTCTAAAGCTAGAGCATGATAAGTAATTATATAGTGTTGGTTTGCATCACACCATGCAAGTAGAAACATATATTTTCTTTTTCTACAGTTTCTGCCACCATTATCATGGCATTTGTCTCCTATTGCAGCTAACACACTAGGTCAGGAGCCCTGTTGTTATCTACAACATTAATAACCTCTTCTCTTAGCACATAGACACATAATGAAGTGTGTTTTCTCAGTCAGGTTACAATACATTGGTCCCCACGTCCCAATGCCACATATTATGAGAATTCCCAGTCAGGCTTCGTTACACTATCTTACCTCCCCCACCCTCTAATCCTGGGACCAGCAATTCCCAAAACTGCCTGTTAGCTACAATATCAATGCACAGTTTTTCATTGGCCCCTGGTGGCTCCGTCTTGTGTACGTGTAAATCTGTACACACACATAGAGGGAGTGAGCAAGAGAGAAATTAAGGCGATTCTGTGTGCTATACGAATATAACTTAGAAAGTAAAGATTTACATAGAAAATAGAGTTAAATGAGTTTTAAAAAATGCTTTCGTATCTACGTGTGCACTTGTGTTTGTTAATATGGCCTTCGGGACAGCCTGGCCGTCTTGAGAGCCTCCAGGGGCTGATGGTAGCAGACTGCATGCTGTCTGTGTACGGTCTGTTCTCCAGTTGTGACAGGGAGCAATTCCTTATGAGCGCAATTAACCAGAGAAAGGGTGCAGCCAAGACAACAAAGATGTACCTTTAGAAAGGACAAGACATACCTTTCAAATCTTTTTTACCTTTTAAAATCTTAGCTTGGTGGGAATTAAGGTAGCTGAAAAAAAGACTGGATCAGCTTGGACGAGAAGGATTGGTGGAGCCAGGTGTGGAGAGAACCAGGACGCAATTAACAAAGACACTTAAAATGCCCACTAATGAGAATACAACCAAATCCCAAGTGGGGAAGAGTG